ATACCTATTCTTTAGGTAGATACCTATTCTTTTTTTTTTTTTTTGGTACCGGGGATCGAACTCAGGACCTTGCACTTGCAAGGCAGGCGGCGGAACCACTGAGCTAAATCCCCATCCCCCAGTAAAATATATTTTAAATATTCTTCTTAAAAAGTTCTTTGTTTCTTTTGGGATTTACTCATTTACCATAATCTCTAGATTTTGATTAATTCATTTTAGATTTTAATTAATTCATTCAACAATTATTTGTTGAATGTCCACTGTATACACAGGTGCTTTTAAAGTTACAGGAGGTAGAAACTTCCTAATAAGCAGCTGTAGGAAATTCTAAAATGTATTTTATTGTAAATTATGGATTATAAAACCAATCACAGATACATGTAATATGCAGCTCATTCCTGATCTTATATTTGGTGATTTTTTTTTCTTTTTGGTCAGAGGCATAAAGGACTTTATTAGGTAGCAATTTTAAAAGTGTGCAAAGAAATAGCATATGGGCCCTCAAGGGAGAAGGGCTAGCCAGGCGTGTTGGTGCACACCTGTAATCTCAGAAGGCTAAGGCAGCAGGATCACCAGGAGTTCAAGGCCAACCTGCACTGCATAACGAGACCCTGTCTCAAAAAAATAAATAAAATGAGAGAGGCCAATTCTTAACTCTCAAGAACTAGGTTATATAAAAAGGTAATACTAAAACTAATTTTTTCCAACAGAAAAAAGCCGCATTTCATGTGGTTACTCATATTTATTAGTCTTTTGTTAGTAGAATTTAAAAATCATGAAAATTGTGGCTTACGTTCTAGCTTTCAAAAATATTTTAAATCTTCCATGCAAAAATACAAAAACCTCTTTAAAAACTTTGCTAGAATATATCTGTTGAAGTTCTGTGCTTGAGACTGTAGCTTCTGGATGTCGAAGTTGTGGTTCAAGTGATCTGAGATTCCAGGGTGGCGTCTCCCCTTTTCTCTGAGTTTCAGAGCCCCCTGACTGAGGCTGTCTCCATGGCAACTGTGTCGCTATAGGGCGATCCTCCTTCAGGGCTGTGGCTCCTCTTAGACACTGAACACTAACCTCCACCCTCCAGATAGCATCCTTCAGGAAGCTCTCGCCACTGGATTCTCGAAAGGCTTGGGACTTGAGGTCAGGCCCTGGAGTCCACCGTGGCTAGAAGTCACCATGTGGCCTCCTGGTAGCCATGAGACCTTAGGCAAATTACTTAAATCTCTTGTGAGCTCAGTGTTCTCATCTGTTAGGAGGATAATCATAGTAATAATACCAATCTCATGTTCAATATGAGAATAAAATGGCCCAAGAGGAAGTGTATGACATTGAGGCTGGAACCTAAAACATAATTCAGTGAATGATAGTATTATTGCTCTGAATTATAGTATTATTCCACACACACTGCAGGTTATGGTGAATAGTTAAGCACAGGTGACATACAGGTTTTATTGGTTTGTTTGTTTCTGGTACCGGCGATCAAACTCGGGTCCTTGCGCTTGCGCAGCAGGCGGTGAAACCACTGAGCTAAATCCCCGGCCCTTGACATACAGGTTTTAATATAGCTTTCCAGGTGTTTGTAGGTCAGCTGTGCTTTTGTAGCTGTGTTTCGAAATATAATTAGTGTTTATGAGATTATAGGAAATATGCTGAAAAGGACTGCTTTACAACAGATTGTTAGGACACAGCTCATTTAAAGCTGGGGGCTGCTTCTCTGTCCTCTCGAGGCTGGAGGGTCACTTTCTCAACCCTCAAAGCACCCTTCTGGGAACAAACTACTCCTGTGAGCAGCTGGTGGGCCCTTATCCCATGACTGTGTAGGGGACAGCACCAAAAAGTCATAGTGGAAACTGAGATTAATGAATGCCTTACACTGCAGCACAAATACAAGGCTTTGTTTCTATTAACTTTTTCTGCTACAGACCATGGTAATATTAAAAACCATGTAGGTGATTTATGTTATTCCACCAGGATCAATGCAAAGAAAATCATCACCTCCGATTGCAACAGGCCGAAAAAAATGTTCAATATTTGCATGAGCATCACAGCATTCAGATGGTGAGTAGCTGGGGGAAAATGCACATTTGCATAATGTGACATTCTGGCAGGACACATGGGGTACAGCCCCTTTGTCAAGATTTACTTTATGTCAAGACATGTGATTGGAATTCTGAGTACTTTACAATATATGCTTGTTTAAATATAGAAAAGAGACAAAATAAAAGAAGAGGAACAGAAGAAAAAAGAATGGATAAACCAAGAACGCCAGAAAACCCTCCAGCGATTAAGAGCATATAAAGCGGTAAGTTCTAGAAATAATCACCTCACCTTTCTGTGGGAAAATGAGGATCACACATCCTAGGAAAAGTGTGAAGCATATGAACAGGTAACTCTGAATATGAAATGTTTCAAAAATACTATTATTTATGGAATAGCAACAAAGAACATAACATCCCAGTATCGGTGTTTCAAGAGCCAGGCTATAAAACACCTGCTGTTTTGGACATCACACCATGCTTGGGTCCCTCTCCTCTCTGAGTGGTGCTAGCTGTGCCTACTGGGGCTTAGATCAGCAGTGAGAACTGAAAGTAGTTAACTGCCCTTGACTTCTTTCCTCATTTGCAATAAAGATTTCTTTAAAATGTCATCAAGGAAGCATTGTGGTCTAAGAGCAGAAAAAGTGCTCTGCTGAAAGTAAACAGTGAGTTAAAATCTAACAAGTTGACCTAAAATTGGGGTAAACTGCTGTTTTCTTGGTTCAGAAGAGCCCATATGGAGGTGTACACTTGCTTAGGGTGGTATAGGAAGTAGTTTGTATGGCTTAAATTCAGGGAAAGAACCTGGAGTAAGGAATTCAGGTTAGTAAGAGTCCCCTGGGTGGTGACAGCCCTGTGGGGTTTGGGGCTTGTCACCTCTCTTCCCATCTGTCCTAAGAAGCCGGTAGGAAGGATAGATAGCCCCCCACCCCCCATTTACTATGAATTGCAAGATGTCTGTGTTTTAAATTCACATTAGTAGTGTCACATTATGTGCACATTCCTGCTTTCTCTAATTCGAGTTCTGTTTTTGAGATGTATTTGTGTTAATGTGTATAGCTTTAGTTCATTTTAATGGCTCATGGTATTACACTTTGTATTTTATTGGCTAATCTGTGCTTTCTTTAGGGTCCCCTCCTCTTTCACGCATCTCCTGGTAGGGATAGATATTTCTTTATCAAACTTAATACCTGAGGCCAGAACTTTCAAATTTATGATTTTTAAATTATTAATTTTTTTGTTTGTTTTGGTACCGGGGATCGAACTTGGGTCCTTTTGCTTGCGGGGCAGGCGGTGGAACCACTGAGCTAAATCCCTGGCCCTAAATTATTAAATTTATTCTAAGCTTTAGAGAAAAGAAATACACACAGTACCTTTGATGTTCACTGTACTGATGTTTTTATCTGTCTTTTACATGTTTATAATCATAATACCTATTTTTTACCTTTTGTTGAAGACAAAGTATTGCTGTGTAGGCCAAGCTGGCCTCAAACTCTCCATGCTCCTGCCTCAGGTCCTGAGTGTAGGGATTTCAGGCCTGTGCACCCCGCTGTCTCCTACTGTTTTCACTTAACACTATGTCAGTTGATTTTTTTTTTTTTGGATATTTCATCGACTTTACACTTTTAGGATTTTTCATGACTGCTTAATATTTTGAATAAATTTGTCTTAATTTTTAAACTAACTTCTATTGTTGGAATTTAGAGCTAGTGATTTTTCATGCTAAGAATTTTAGGATGAGATTTGTTTTGTTTTGTTTTGTTTTTTGGTACCAGGGCTCAAACTCAGGACCTTGCACTTGTAAGGCAGGTGTGGTGCCACTGAGCTAAATCCCCAGCCCTATGATGAGTATTTTCATGGTCTGTGTATCTTCACATCTTCCTTTTATTTCAGAGAAGACAATACTTGATTAAACGGTGTGCTTCTTTTTTTTTTTTTAACACATACTTATTTTTTAATGCATCCAGGATGGCTGCATAAATGACAGGCGCAGTGTGTGAATTAGAATGCTGTATGATTATGTCCCCATCAACATTTTGATGGTTAGCATGTGGTGGCAGATTTCTCTCAACCACTTTTCATTTTCAGAAATGTCCAGCTCGGTCTGCGCTACAAACCTCTGCCTCCGAGCTTGCGGCCCCAAACTTGCCAGGTGACCTTTCCCAGCAGCTGCCCTCGCCAGCTTCTCAGCCAGGGACAGCAATTCTCCCACCATCCCGGAAAACCAGACGTGCTCCTCCCTTCAGTGAAGTTAGCCATATGGAGTGTCAAGAATGTCCTGGAAACATCCCTGTCCAGATATTTGTCCCAGCTGGGCACCAGACACACTCCAGATCCAGTGAGGAACTGTCACCACCACCACAGCCTCCCTCTCCGCCTCCGCCTCCCCCTCTTCCTCCACCCCCACCCCCACTGCCACCTCTCTCTGCTCGGCCCTCCTATTCCCAAGCTGCCATTCATCAGAACCCAGGCCCCAGGACTTCAGTGGACGATGACCAGCCACATCCGTTGGTGTGTGAATCCACTGCTGAAAACTCGCGTGGCTCCTTGGAAATTCTTTCAGGCCCAGGTAATCCACAGGGGTTCTGTCTCTGCTCCCTCCCCATGGGTGAAGCTGATGAAGCTTCCTAGCTTTAGAAGCCATCATCTTCAAATTGAAATCTTTTCCAGAATTCTCTTGTCTTTCTTAAAATATTCCATTATATTTGTTGCCTTGAATATTACTTTTTCTTACATAGCACAGCCAAAAAATCTAGTTTGATAAATGCAAATTAAGCCTGAAAATACTTGTCTAGCATTTGGCTGATCATATAGCTTAGGATTTCTTTTCTTTTTTCTAGTTAATATTTTACTTTTATTGGTACATGTTTGCAATACATAATGATTACATTCCTCATCGGGAGTTGGTTCATGTACATCACACATCTCAATCCTTTTCATCCCCTTCTCTTCCCCTCCATCCCTTGATCCTCTTCCCTTTTGTGAAATACCTGTCTCCCTACTTCCTATTATCAATATTTTATTTTGCTCTTTATGCTTTGGGTTTCTCATATAAGAGAAACCATGTGATATTTAAGCTTGTGTGTCTGATTTATTTCACTTAACATTATGGCTTGGGATTTTCTGAGGCTGTTAAAGGATCCATCTGTTTCTGTTTTCTTAAAGACTTTAGTCTGATTTTTGCCATTAGGATATTTTTCAAGTTTTCTGTTTTATCTCTGAATCCTTTACAGAGTTAAACTGTTGCATTTTAAGGAGAATATTGCTTGTAAATTATTGTGGAGGAATGTCAGCCATCATGTAGAAGGCCATTCTTTGCATACTGATGCATAGGAAAAAAGAGCTTTTTGTTATGGCAAATACAGTATCCTGAAACATCTGAATATTTGTTTAATGAGGGCTATAGTTTTCAGGCATAATTCTAATTATGGCTTTATATTTACTATTGAGGAGAAGGGCCTAAACCTGCCCAGACTCGGAACCTCCTACTTTGGAGTGTTTTAGAAAAATCCTAGCAAAATGCTTTAAAAAAAAAAATGCTGTATACACTTGTTTCCTGAGATGTAGCTGAGCAGATCACTTGGAATATGCAGGGTGACAGCGACAGGTAATGTGAGTGATTTTCATGTAACAGTTCCAAACTGGGGTTCTGGTTGAGCATTCTGGATATTCTGAGCTCAGAGCGTCACTGTATCTAGAACCAGCTACAGAGGAAAACGTCTGCTCTACTAGGTGGACGACAAATAGTCTGTTTCTATGAGGTTTGCACCAGCACTATGTGAGCAAGAAGAGAGCCTGTGTGCCTGTGCCCAGGCCGGACATGGACAGACTATTATGGGGTGTCTGTTCCTAGCTCGGGTTCGTGTACACTTTTAGGGAGCTCTATTCCACTCACACCGCTCTCTCGTGCTAAAAAAAAAAAAAAAAGTGTGAAAATGCCCTTGGTTGCAAAATCTGTCTTATTACTCCCAATGGAAATTATAATGTTACAGGTTTAAACCCAAAGTGAAGTAGCCCTTGTTAGCCATAGCATGGCCTTTCAGTCCCCAGTGGGAATTCTCAAAGGCTTACCCAGCAGATGTTTAAATCAGTGGCCACAGTCATGCCCCTGTGCCCAGCAGCTGATGAACGATCCCCCCCAATGCCTCAAGATTCTTCTCCCCAGTGCCCTGGAACTCTAGGCTAATTTGTGTTTTGACAGCATTTCACATCCTCAGAAGTAACGTGTAACCACTTCAGGGTAATGTAGGTGGAATTAAACACTCTATGTACAGAAAAATGTGCGAAAGCCACCCCCTCCTGTTCATTGAGCTACTGACTAGAATTTTACTTAAGCCTTTTTGTGTATGGAAACTTACTCGCTTCATTGTCATAGAATGAGTCATCATTGTCTAATACCTAAGAGTAAAGATAGATTAACACAGCAAGATAAAAAACATTTTTTAAAAGATATTTTTAAATGAGAAAGGAAGTGGGAAAGATACAATTTTACAGGGATCTCAGTGATGCCTAGTTCTTAGATTATTTCTACTCCAGCCATCCATAACTTTCTTTAGGCCATCTTGAAAAACTGTCATTCCAAAAAAAGTGGTGCATGACTTTGCCTGTAAGGTGGTATGGATTTGAAGAAGTTAGCTGAAAGTAAATAGTCAAGATAAATATTTACCATGGAACTGTCTTGGATCAAACCGGGAGCTCTGTCTAGCAGGTCATCAGAACATCTGTTGGATGGAATGATGATAATTTGTTTAAATCCTGGCTTTAGTAATGTTCTGACAGCCTGGTGCTTGATGGTACTTGCTCTGTTCACACAATTTCAGGATCTATGGACGAAGTGCTGGCCTCATTAAGGCACGGCAGAACTTGCCTCCAGAAAACAGAAGTGCCCACACTGCCCCGACCCCACGCCTCTGTCAATGAGGACATCCTGGTGGCCATCAGGCAGGGGGTCAAGCTGAAGAAAGTCCATCAGGACCCAGACCCGGGCCGCAGCACCAAGCCAGCCAGTGACCTGGAGAGAAGCATCAAGGCAGCTCTGCAGAGAATCAAGCGAGTGTCTGCCGACTCAGAGGACAGTGACGAGCAGAACCCCGGCCAATGGGACAGTTAAGGTCTTCTCCACATGTGACAGAGGTAGTTGGGCCATGTAGCATCCCAAAGATCAGCCAGGCTTTGGGCACGACATTGCAGCTTTGATTTGATGTTATGGCTTCCAAAATCGGGGCGGGAAGCAGAGCTGTGGTGACTGGCACACATCAACCCTGGGTGTGTGTGAAATCCACAGAGAGGGTTGCTGGCTGCAGAGCACAGTGCTCACTTTGCACTTGGGTCATAGAATCAGTCCCTGGTTGTGAAGTTTACACTGCCCTGTAGACAGCACCTTTACGACTGCTGACTGTGCCCTCCTGTGTGTGTGGAACAGAAGTTCCTCAGATTTAAAGGTCCGAATGTGAACATGTATTTTAGTAATAATCAGAGTAAACTGCTTATATTCAGGAATTATTTTAAATATTTAAGTGAAATTTATTTTATGTATCAAGCATTACATAAATGTATAATAAATAATTATTTTAACTATTTATAATACATCACTGTCAAGCATGAGAAAATGAAAACAGTACCTTAACCACTGTACAAGCAAAGCCTTCCCTGCCTGGGTGGGTTTAAAGTGTTTAGTGAGATTTTGGGTGAACAGCTGTTTAAGCAAATACTAAGTGTGGGGAAACAGGGGTATCCCCACAAGGGCTCCTCCTGACTTGCTGTTAGGGTTAGGAAAGGCAGGGACCTGCAGAGAGCAGTCTATCCATTTGTCACACTGCCCCAGCATCCCCGCTAACCTCATTACCGTCGCTCTTGTGACAGGAGAATGAACCCCACCCATGTTCCCAGGGAAGAGTCCTGATGTAGAGCACAACTCTTTGTACTCCCAATTTCTTCTTTAGTAACCTGCAGGCCTTACTTAGCTGGCAAAGCCAGGAGGGGTCTGAGTCCTTTGGCCTAGCCGCTGCCAGGCTGTGCATGGTCTGTCCCGAGTACCCCATCCTTAGAACTCAGTTCCAGCTCCTATGGCAATGCACCTCACCACCAGCTGGGCCGACTTCTGGCATCTAGGCCAAGTCTGGCCCTCCCCCGACCTGCTGCATCCTCCCAGCTGCCAAGGACACCCACTGCTAGCTGCCTGCTGGGTTTCAATGCCAGGTCCCAGAAGCAGGACAGGTGGCTCTGTCCCAGGCCTCCTTCCCCACCTTGGGCCGGCCATGTCCAGAATCAGGCATTTTAAAAAAGGCAAGATTAGAACTTTGTGAGACTTTCTTATGCTTATTTTGCAGTTTTGTATTGTTTTTAATTACTTACTTTGGTTTCAGTATTATGAGATACAAAGAAGCTTAATGAGTTTTGGATAATCCTCAGAATTTGCCTTTGAGGGGCTGCCAAAGATGGGAGACCTTCAAAAAAAGATCCTTTTCTAAAGAGTTCTCTCAAAGTTCCCAGTCCATTTCTGTCTTCCGTGCCTCAGAACTTTTCCTTCTCCTCTGGAACATTCTCTCCCTCATTTCTCTTTCCCTCCATCTTCCAGCCAAGCCCTGAAATCAATCCAGGCTCTGGCTTCAGGGAAATTGGAGCCAAGGAGGGGAACAAGTATGTCTCCTATTATGTAGCTTCCCTCCTCTGCAACCCACCCTCCAAAGTACTGCCAACTACTTTTGACCTCTCAGAGTTGCTCCCCGACTTCCCAATGCACAGAGCTATGGGCGGGCCCTGAAGCATGGCACACTGGCCCCCAGAGGCAGCCCCTTTCCCCCCAGGCAGTTCCTCTCCAGCACCACCAAGCTGCTTGCTGCCTTCCCCTTGCAGCCTCGCTCTCTGGAGCACAAAGTGCCTGGAATCGTGAAATGCCCCCCCATTCCCTGGCCAGCCCTCGCCCATCCCTCAGTCTCAGCCCTGCATTGTTCCCCTGAGGTCTTCCCTACATGGCCACTGCACCTTATCCTGGACACCAGCATGCTCCCCTCTCGCCTACAGCCCTCCCACAAGGCCAGCCAGTGGGGCATGTGTCACCCCCAGTGGTCACAATCTGGTGGCTAGCATCGGGTCCTCAGAGTCAATCCATAACTGGCAGTGAGCAGCCTGTGAACTGTCCTGGAGTGAAAAATAATGGGCTGTGCCAATCAGGTCTGTCAATTCATTTCTTAATTTTTTTCCTCCTCTAGGATTTGAGTTGGGAATCCAACAAGGGTGGCAGAGCTAGGATCATACCCTAGGAAGTCACGTAGGAGAGGACTTATACAGCAGAGATTCTTAAACATCAGGTTCTAGTGTGTTAGTTTTCTAGTGTCATAATAAATTACTGCAAATGTAGTGGCTTAAAACACCAGTTTATTCTTAAGAGTTCTATACAAGTTCAACATGCGTCTGTGAGGCTGGATTGAGGGACCAGCAGGGCTGTGCTGTTCTCTGAAGGCTTCAGCAGAAGCTCTTTCATTCCCTCTGTGGCTCCTGGCAGTTGCCTGTGTTCCATGCCTTGTGGCCCTTCCTGTGTTCAGTCTGCAGAGCAGCAGTGTCTTGGCTATCAGACCACTGGCCCCAAGATCTCTTTCTGCCCCTGCTGGGAAGGTTCTTTGCTGTTAGGATCTCCTGTGATTAGACAGGGTCTGCCCAGGCAGTCCAGGACAGTCTCCCATTTGAAGGTCCCTTTGGCCCTTTCTGTTAACACAGTCCTGGGTTCTGGGGATTTGCATGTGGGCCACTCTGGGGTCCATTTCCTGCCTAGTACAAGGCACTTGCTAGCAGGCAGACTATCAAGTGGCAAAGGCCCCAGTCTAGGAGGTTTTCCTGAGATAGGCCGGCAATCCTAACAGCAGCAGATCTGCAGCACATCCTAGAAACACAAAAATACTGTCCCCTAGAGTTGGAGAGGAACTAAGGTTGGTGAGAGGGAAGTTGAGGCCTTCAGTGGCCTGGGGTCACTCTAGCCTTGGAAAAGGTGGGTGTGGTTCTTGGCCACTGGTGAGAGTAGTCTTGAGAGCCACCAAGCACCCCATCGGTGGGTCCCATTAACACCTGCAGCAGGCCAGCAGGCCTAAGCAGGGGGCTATACTAGATCTGGGGAAGTAACCAAGTCTTTTCATTTTTGTGTTCCCAGGAAGGGGTCTTGGGGAGTAAAGGTGCTCAATAAATAGATGTGAAATGAACACTTTTGAGCTAATGATTTATGTGGTGTTAAATATGAAAAGAGCTGGGAGTAGCTGAATTTCATGAAGAGGACTTCTGGCCTAGGCGTGGCATGGCGGTGGTAGTGGTGGAGGTAGGGCCAGTGGCAGAGAAAGGACTCCAGGCAGTGGGAACAGTAAGAATAAGAACATAGAGAATGCCACAGCTGGGCCTTAGCAGGGCAGGGGAGGGCTCTGGGGTGACCACATGGCAGGGTGGGAGCCAATAAGAGATGAGGATAGAAGCCGACTGCCCCATGGATCAGGAAGAGCAACCAGGAAGGGGAGGGGTCAGGAACAGGGCAGAGGTGGTGTGGTGACAGTGGCAGTGGTGGAGATAGGAGGGCAAAGGGAGAAGCACAAGACACACATCCCACTGCAAGAAGCAGGGGGTCAGCAATTGGATCAGTGGCCGCTGTCAAGGAGGGGAGGAAGACTGAGAAGCATGGAAGAAGGAAGGGGGGTGTCTTGGGTGCAAAGAACTGCTGGCAATGGACTGAGATCACCTTGAAGATTCCAGGGGAGAGAAGATCAAAGGAAGACGATGCAGGACAGAGCCTTGGAGACCCCAATGTGAACACAGCAGGAGGAAGAGGGCATGGAAAAGGAATATTCCCCAAAAGTAAGACAGACCTGGGAAGGAGAACCAGTCCAAAGTGAGCATCAGCAAAGCCAGCCAGCAGCGGTGGTGATGGCAGAATCATTTCCACTCAGTGCTCTTGTGTCTTGTGCACACACATATCTGGCTTATCTGGTAGTCAGTGGCTACAGAGAGGGCTTGGGCAGTAAGAGCAGGGACAGCTTCAGGGAGATTTCTGCAGCACAGGAACATGCAAGTCACCTCCTCGTCCTCAGCATGAGTGTGTGGTGCAGAGGTGGTGGCCAGGCAGGAACAGAGGACATCGAGGCAGATGGGGGCCCATCCTCCAACACCTTGGGAACATGGAAGCCCCAAACCTTCAAAGGCTCACCTCTGGAGGAAAATGGATCCCAGAATGGAGATAAAATTGTATGAGCTTGGTGGAGCAGGGGCTCAAAACAAATTAACTTAAATGAAGGAAGAATAGAGACGGTCGTATTCCATTCCTGACCTGAGGGCTGGGGTCTACACTTCCTACATGTTTGGAAAAGGTAGTTTTATGCCTGGAACAGACTCTGCCATGTGACTTATCTTGTTGAAACAGCTATGGAAAAACCCTTTTTGGTAGAACAAACCTCTGAGATTAGCTTTTTCTCCAGCTAGGCACAGGAGCATACATTCTCACTGCCTTCTCCCAGGAGGTGATCTTCTGCAGAGAACGGAGTGCCTCTTGGGTGAGAAAAGCTGCAGTGTGGCCCCATGGGAGCAGAACGTGACCAGCTGAAGGGCAAGCATCCCTTCAACATCCCGTTTGTCCCCAAAGCTACTATATTGCAACCTGAACGCTCCCTTGCTTTGGCTCAGGAAGTGGCCGCAGAGGATGTCAGCCTACCTGGAGAGATCAAGAACTTCCAAAATACCTTTTTAAGCACAAGGAGTCTGTGAAAGATTTTTCTCAGCTTAAAAATAGACACAAACATTTTACTGAACTATGTATTTCTATATAGACAGCTCTATTACAACAAAATCAGATAAAGGGTATACAAGTCTTTAAAGGAAAATAAATTTTCCCTTAAATGTAAAAAGATCATTTTCCAAATAACATCAAACAGAGACATATAAAGAAAAAATTGTAGATACACAAGAGAAACAGGCAGAAATACAGAAATACATACCTTTCTTAGTCGCTAATGAATCAAGTAAGTAAAAATTAAAAGTTCATAGCTTTGTACTTAATGAGGTCAAAGCAATACATAAAGATTGAATTTTGTTCCCTTCAGAGAATATACATTCTCCATTTTCCTGGAGATATTTATTAAAACTAAAAATTTATTAGGTTTTAAGAAAATATCAATAAAGTCCAAAGTGCACAAATTGTACCGGCCATACCCTCTTTGACAAGGCAGTAAAACTAGAAGTTTGTACCATGTGTTAACAACAACAACAAATATCAAGCTATTTTGAAATCTGAAAGTATAATTTCAAATAACTTGTAAAAAATAAAGTCAATTCTGAAATTATAAATTATACCATGCACAAAAATTTAGTGATATGGACTATTCAGCCTTAGAGTGCTAGTAATTGTCTTAGTAAGCAAGAAAAAGTTAAAATGGCATTCAACTTGAGAAGGTGGAAAAATAAAGGAAAAAACTGAAAAGAGCAAAGACAAATTTAAAAAATCATAAAATGGTAAAACAATATTAAGGTATAAGTCCCAGAGTTGATTCTTTGTAAAAACTAATAAAATTTCTGGAAAAACTAAATAGAACAAAAGAGAAAGCATAGATGTACAACTTTATCAGTAAGAAAAAAATAACAATGCCAACACATTTGAAAATCTTAATGGAAACATTCTTTAGGAAATTAAACTGTCAAAATTATAGAACAGGAAGAAAGTCTGACCAATGAGCACAGAAAAAATTTAAAGAAACTATCAAGGAATTATTTTCTAACAAGGCACTACACTTAAGACAGTTCTATGCATGTTATAAAAACTTTAAAGAGCAAAAACTTTTAAATATTATTTAAACTATTTCAGGGCATAGAAAAAGAGCTTCCCAAATGCCTTTTTTTAAAAGAAGTTAACAAAAATATTTGTCAAAGAAAAAAATCACAACTATTCATCTTATTAAGATAGGAAATTTCCAAAATAAAGTGAGTAAACCAAAGCCAAAAGAATGTTTTCTCATTGTAAAGCTCATTTTTATTATATAAGCAATACCTAATTTTCATAGAAAAATCAGAAAACACAGGTAAGAAACACAAAATAAAAATCACCTATAAGCCATAATAACCACTGTTAACATTGAAAGGGGGTGTATATTAAAAGAACAACAGAGTCTGACTATATCAGATTTTTATAGGAATGCAAACAGGGCTTAACGTTAGCAAATATATTAAAATGATTCATCTTGAGTCGTAATAGAGAAGAACTATTTGATCATCTGACAGATCAGAAAAAGGTCATTTACTAAAATCCCAACATCTATTACTGATAAAATTTTTAGACTAGAAATAGAAGGGTATAATTTAATATATAAATTCAAATATCAAGAATATTTTACATTAAAAGTCAAAGTTATATTTTTGGAGAAACACTTGCTAAGGGAAGAAATCTATAAAGAAATGTACAATACCAGCACAGTTATATATTCATTATGTAGGATTGTCCTAAAAGTGCTGGTCAGTGTGATGAGACAAGAAAGTAAAATAAGATTATTAAAAATACAAAGTAAGAGCCAAGGATTTAGCTCAGTGGTTCCGCCGCCTGCCTTGAAAGCGCAAGGTCCTGAGTTCGATCCCTGGTACCAAAAAAAAAATACGAAGATAAAATTTTCACCCGTATCTAGAACTATTACCTACTTGAAAAAGGCCAGAGGAATTAACAAAACTATCAAAATGGAAAGAATTTAGTAACTGGCTAGTGTCAAAATAACCAATTGCCAAGTTAAATAAACCAGCCACACATTACTTTCTTAATGCAGAGGTAAGAATGAGGTAGACTGATGTTTACTGACATAGAAAGAGGCCCGAGATCTACTGCCAAGGGAAAAGACAGATGGCAGAAGGGTTGTATCACACTTATAAAATGATAAAACATATTTTGGGAAAAAACTGAGAACTATGCATAATTATTGATTATCTTATGGCAGAGGGATTTTTAATTCTATAGGACTTTGATTTTCTACATTATGTATTCTCATGTTTAAGTTTACATAACTTTAATGTCAAGGTAGAAAACCAATCAATTTAATTTTCATTAAAGAGTAGTGGGATATCTATACACTAACAACAAGGTGTTGAAAAACAACGGACAAAAGAGCTCATTTACAATAGTAACCACAACAATAAAAATTGCCATTATTAGAAAAGATAGACCAAAGGACATAAAACTAAACATTATAAATTTATTGAACTGAAAGAGAACATATTATAATTCTGTAGTACTATATCCATTTTACATAAGCTAATTTCCAATTCTTCTAAACATTACAAAATGACCCTAAATTTCTTTCAGATATATTAATATGCAAATGTACTTGTACATTTCTGACAAGGTTTAATGGGACACTTGGTCTAGCATTATGATGATCAAGCAGGTGCTCCCAGTGCTGGACTGTCCAGGCAGATGGTGGCTCAGGGTAAAGCTCAGAGGCACTGGGGAGCATGTGTGCATCCAAGATGCCCATGGACTGAAGCCATACAGGAGTAGGGAAAGTGGTCGGGAAGGGATAGATATCCTGATCAATAGTGCTGGGGCAATTTAGAAAATAAATTCCAATCAATCAGATTTAACTGTTTAAAAAAGAAAAATAAATGGACAAGAATAAAATATTGATGAATATTTACAATCTTGGAATTAGAAATGAAAAGACTTTTCATAAGAATGACAGCAAAGATAACTGAAAGAAAAAGATTTGACTGTTTATTTTTTTAAAAGCTATAATACAACTTAAAATTTTTTACAATATTTATTTTTAAAAGCCTCTTAGAAATCAATGAAGACTCTAGACTCCTAAGAAAACTGGCCAGACTACATGAATATAGGTAAACTACAAAAATATATAATTCAATAAATACATTTTTCTAATGATGGTCACTATTTTAATCAAAAATTTAATTTTTTTATACCTCTAGACCTTAGTAACAGTGTTAAAGAAGGAGTTGGACATTCTCACACACTGCTAGGGGTGGGCACATATTTGGGAGACATCTTTCTGAAAGGCAATTTGAGGCAATACATGAGGGATGATCACAATATACAGTGAATGTTCAAGTAAAACATTATTATAGAAAAAGGCACGTTGCCATTAAGCCTCCTCAAACTGCATGAACTGCAAACGTACGAATACAATTAAAAATTTAAAAAGCCTCCTTAAAACACATACCACACTTCAAACACACTTATCTCATTGTTCTTTCTCCTTTCTGAAGCAGTTCTGGAAGTCCTCTTTCATGAGTGTCTTTACTAGGTGTGACAAAAAATATGGTGACTGCTACTGCTGAATGCTATTCAACGGAAAGGTAGGCTCGTAAAAAACATTATAGTGTGTCTTCATACACCTTACTCACTGGATCTGGTACTGTGAGTCTGTGGCTCTTCCCTAAAGTCAAAATGAGCATGAAAGGTAAACATTTTGAATCAGTTCAGAATATTGAGGCAGCCATGACAGTGCAACTAAAGACACTCATGAAAGAGGACTTCAGAACTGCTTCAGAAAGCAGCAAGAATGATTGGGTAAGTGTATTTAAAGTGAAGGGGAATATTTTGAGGGTGTTTAATGGTAATGTGTCTTCTACTGTAAACATTTACAGTATTAGTATTGTGTGATCATACCCTGTATAATAAAATTCCTAAAAATGTGCCTACCTTTTTATCATTAGTCAGAAAAGGGTGTTATGCTGCAGTAACAAATTAACCCTGAAGTCCCAGTGGTGTACCATTAAGGTTTATACTCTTTATTATCACTACAGGTCCATGCAGGTTGGTGGTGGGGGAGAAGAGAAGGGAGCATCTGCTCCACAGAGTCCCTCACTTAGGGGCCCAGGCTGATGGAGGCTCCAGGAAATCACATTGCTGAGTGCAGGGTACAGACACTGGGGCTCTGCGCATGGACATTTTAGTCTCTGCCCACATTTCATTGGCTGGAAGTAGTCACAAGAACCTGAATGACTACAGGGACATCAAAGGGTAGAGTCTCCTATGTGCCCAAGAAGGAATGGGGCCATAGATAGAAACAAGCACATGATTGAGCCAGCAAGTTACCTCTTAGAAAATTATCCTAAGTAAATATTCTGAAAAGTTTAAAAAGATGTCAGAAGAGTTTCATCATATCTTTGACTCCAACACTAAAAAATTGAAAACAGCCTACGTATCCAAGATCCAACCTACACAGATATTAAAAAGGATATAATTACATATTGATATAGAAATATATTCACAATATAGTGTCAAAAGGGGGAAAAGCAAGTTATAGAATAGTATGTATAATCTGATTATATTTCATGGAAAAAGTAATGAAGCACATATAGATGCATAGGAAAAAGTCTGAACATACACCAAATGTTAACAGTGGTTACCATCAGATGGGTAATAATAGGTGATTTTTTTCTTTTCACTTATCTTTAGTTTCTTAAAAAATGTATATCTTATTCATATCTCAAAAAAAGCATTTGAAGGAAAAAAATGTTATTCTTGGGAGAGTCCACTTATCTACCCTGTACTCATCATTATATTCTTACATTTAATGTAAGAAATGTTTTCTTTCCTGTCATATCTAATAAGACACTGCTATAACAACTGATTGAAAGGACTTTCTTTTCAAAGTAGTACAAGAGGGAAAAGACAGGAACACAATACATTCTCCACGGCTGCATAGCATCCATCCTGCCAATCGCCTGCCAACATGTAAAGAATTTGGACTGTGGTTTGTCTGTGCTCACGCCAGGGGTGCCAGAGAGCTCCCTACAGCCAGTTCTGCACTGTGAAAGATAGCCGGGCACTGTACAACTCCACTCAGCAAAGACCCATACACTTTTCATGCATGGATTCCAGAACACAGAACACCAACCCCAAAATGATTCAAAGAAAGACTCCTCTCAGGTATACATTTTTACACTGAAAACTTCCTTATTGCTTCTGTTGCTGCCCTTTGCGCCTTCCTCCCCCAGCACACACACCCACATGAGCACACGCACACATACGCACAGAGACCTAAGTTCACCAGAACATTTCAGCCAGCTGAGAATTTGTAGCACAGTCACCTTGCCAGGCCGTGTTTAAAGAAGAACTCTATTCTTGAGATAGGTGCATGGAAAAGACATAAAAAAACATAAATTTCTACACAGGATTCCCTCTTCATGCCATCATCCACCATCCCCAGAATATATAGTGGGTTGGTTTTTTTTGGTACCGGGGATCGAACTTGGGACCTTGCGCTTGCGAGGCTGGCGCCAGAACCACTGAGCTAAATCCCAGGCCCCTATATAGTGGTTTTTGAGGGAAGCCAAGTACTCAGAAATTAGGGTCCATTTAAACCATGCATGTCATTAAAAACTATATATGGACATTAATTTTTCAAGCTTCTAGTTTATATTTCAAGTGTTTCCAAATCCAGTGATGTTTCAAGTGAGTAAGTGAAGTATAACTTCTAGAAGGGTGAATGGTGCACCAACCCACTTTCAGTTATTAGCAAAGGGCAGTGTCTTTTTTTTTTGGTACCAGGGATCGAACTCGGGTCCTTCCACTTGCACAGCAGGCAGCAAAACCACTGAGCTAAATCCCCGGCCCTGGCAGTCTCTTTTGAGTGCTTACAGTAAGTCACACCATGGCTGCCCTGTTTTCAAGGACAAGATGGCCCTGTGGGTGGCTCTCATCCACAGTCTCCCTGGTTTCTACAGACTTGTCTGTAGAAGATGAATCCCTTTAAAACAGGCAGATAGGGATGCATCAGGGCAGAATACTGTTTCACCCAACACCCTTTATCTGACGTATCGTGACAAACACAATGTGCCAGCCAGGCACTTCCCAACTCCTTTTGTGATGGCTGCGCTTGAGGAACCTGCAGGCTGGAGACCAGCTGCCCTTGTGGACAGTCTTTCTGGGCACATACGACCTGCTCTAAGACCCTGCAAGCCTGCTCCCTGTCTAGCACTGCCTCCTTCCCCTGCAGAGGTTGCTTATATAGTCCCAGGGCTGATCACCTGTTCTAATCTGATTACTCTGTTTCCATTAAAGCTATCAACAAAGAACTCAAAGTGAGCCTGTGTGCCACCGAACTGGCCTCTCAAGCCTGGACATCAGTCACCAACACTTTCTTGGACAGGTCCCTAAAAATCAAGAATCAGTCCAGATGGAACTTATTGTTTGTAATGAACATAAACATAATTCTGATTTGCTCCTTTGTAAGCTGTCCTTTGTTGTGGATACACATTAAAATAATATAATTGCAATGTGCTCTTATTAGATTCAAGAGGATGTTTTTTTCTCCTGGTACCCAGGGACTGCTGAAGAGAGAACAGGGATATGCTCATAGAAAAATACCAGGCCGAGGTCCAGGAGACAGGATGCAGAGCCCACACTGTTGGTCACGCCAGGTACTTGGGCATGTCACTTTCTCTGTCTCTGCTTCCTATCTGCAGAATGCAGGTAATGATTTCTGCCAAGTTCTCTCCCTCTATGAAGGTCTCAAGTGATGATGTGTGGGGCTGATGAAGCATGCCAGTCAGACGGCCCACGTGGACTCTGGGTTCTTTCACCCAAGGTCTGACCACTCTCTCCCAACCTGTCACCCTAAGCAGTTTTACATCCCCAGGGCATCTGGAAGACATCCTCTCTCCTTCCCACCTGAGAATGAGAAATGCATCCAGCTGAGTCTCATCTTGGAATAAAGTTATCTTTAAAGATCACCATGGTTAAGGGGTCTGAGTTTTACTTGGCCTCTTTTAGGCCCCAGGTTTCATAGATGGAGAACAAAAGCTAATCCAGGTACATACAGCCAATCTTGGTGATGGGTGTAAAATCAAGGAGGCCTCATCCGGAAGCTGACAATATACTCCTGGCTCAACATCTTCCAGGCAGCCCAATGTGGCTGCTATGGCTATGAGGGAAAGGGGGACACCCGGCCTGCACATGGCATAAGGCCACACGTAAGTCCTGAGACTGCAGTGGTCATCAGGACCCACAAGGCCATGTTACAAGAAACCTGGGACAGATGCAATGAGCCACTGTCATCGCAGAGTTTCCCCTCCATGGTGCCAGAGGCTGTTGGCCAGACTAGTCCCGTGGCTGACTATTCTGGTTGTTCCTGGGCCATTCTCAGTTTAAAAGAAGCTAAATGAAGAAACATTATAGTCTTTAAATGAAAGCAGAAGGCCTGGAAAGTTCAATGCTTCTGTCAAGTTTTGTGCTTTCACTGAGGGATCCAATCCTCCCTTTAAAAGGCCCCCTGCCTCAGCTCCTGGGCTGTAAGAGTCTGAGGCTAGACAGCCCCAGCAGTATGAGGAATCTAAGGCCCTCACCACTGGCTACAAGCTGCTTGGCACACTCTTCAGTGGTGAACAGGATCCTGGGTCTCAGGCCCCAGAAGTACACCATGGTAACGACTTGCAGCACTCTACACTTCTACGTCCAGCATTTTCTAAAGTCACTGCTATGAGAATGTACAAATGGCTTTAGCAATTATCCTCCTATGAGTATGTCACCTGAGCACACTCTAGTCAGCCAAGAGGGTTTCTTTAGATTAGCAAGTCTGCTGTAGGCAGAACTTGGGTCATCTGAAGGCCCAAGCTGAGGGTGTTTTGATCCCAGTGTCCACTGCTCCAGGGCAGTGACAGGCTCAGGCCAAGCTGAGAAGAATCCCCTTTACTCTGCTTCTAGACCATAGGAACAACTTGTGGCCGGTCCAGCTCTCAGGTCTCCAGGAACTGCCAGTAGGGAGCTGGGACTACTCTCCTGAGAGCAACCTGGAGCTCAGGGGAAAGGGCAGGGCAGGCAGCCCCCTGGTCTGAATAATAGCAGGGTTGACCACACTTCCCATTTCCTGTCTAAGAGTCCTGTGTACTCAAGGCCCCATGCAGCCTGCAGGGTCTCCCCTAAAGTACCCTGGTGCTCCAGATCACCAGCCTGCCCTCCTTTTCTATCCCAAGCAAGACCTCCCTGCTCAAAGAAGACTCGGCTGGGGAAAGAGAGCTGAGGACTCAGACACTCACCTTGGGGTCTGGACAGTCTCCTCCGCAGGCTGTTTTCTCAATGATCTAGTTTCAGCAGGAAGAATTTCTAACCCCATGAGAAACTGTTTCTCAAGGGAAAAGTTCTCTTAGGTGGTTCTCAGAGAGGTAAGAGGGCAGCAGAGCCCCCCTGTGCTCAGGGCATTTAGAAATGTGTGAGGCCAGGGACTCAAACCTCCAGCTGTGACAGGTGATGTCTCCCAGTGAATGCTGTGGCACCCAAAGGCCCACTGGCCCATGAGCGGCTCTGTATGAAAGGACAGGTTTATGGTTCTAGTCAGTTCCTGCTAAGGCAAGAGGCAGACCTGGGCAGAGCTTCTCTGTTATTGAGGTTCTCCTCACCCTCACGGGCCCGTATAATTTCTTTCTTGGCTCTCCAAACCCTTCACAGGATCTTGTGGGGCCTCAGACCACCCTCTGACTTGTCTGCTACACCTGAGCCACCCGTGGATTTGGGCAGCTAGGTGCCTTTCTTCTGATAACTACCCAGCACAACAAAGAGTGTATCATTCAACAGGGTTTGAACTCTGCTGTGGGGTTTAAAACACTAAGTTTTGTTTAGACATTTAATTCAACAAATATTTATTGAGCACCTACTTTGTGCCAGGCACTGAACTAGGCATCCTCACTGCACTTTATTCCCATAACATGAGCATCTGCTCAGACATTCAAAAAGGAGCATTGTCGCAACCCAACATAACAAAGGAGAGTGGAGTGTGGCGGATGCAAGCATCTCCCATGCCAAAAGGCACACCCACCAGAAATGTGCTTTCTTTCTCTGGACAGGTTTTCACTACATGCTTGCTTTAAAGCATCTCAATGCTGACTGAGAGAGAAGTTGCACCCTCCATGCCCCCAAGGACTGGAACCTGGTCGTCAATTACATACTCTGAGTGCTATTCAATAAAAGGAGCAAAACAGCCTGTCATTAAAGGATATTTGGGTTAGAAAAGATGTTTGTTTTTCCATTAGAGGGTTGCAACAGCCCTTAAGAAAGGTATAAACATCCCTGCCCTGACTGCGTAAACGTTTAAGGTAGACCTAGTTCTGGATTCCTGAGTCAGAATCTTCCAGTTGTCCACAACCTCAAAGGCCAGAGAAGCGAGAGGAGATTTCTATCCTGGAGAGGAATGAGTGGACGGCACACCTGGTCTGGAAACACGACACACCGCACCAGCATTTACAGAAGCAATGCAAAGAGGGCCGCGCTCTAGTCCTATTTCGACTCGCACACACATGGGACTCACAGCAGGCTGGTCTCTGCTGCCCTAGTTGTCCGTGCCCAGCTTGGACAGGCCTCGGCGGAAGTCATGGAGGTCATCGATCTTTCCATCCAGCACTTCCAGGAAGCTCTTCAGCTCCACCTTCAGGTGGCGCTGTCGGTATTTACTCTCCTCAATGTCTGTCTTTAGAGACTGCACTTTGTCTTCCAAGTTCTGATTGTCTCTCTCGGCTGCCTAAAAAAAACAAAAAGGGAGAAGGGTCTGAGACAGGGTAATGGGAGCCATTGGCAAAGCCTCTCCAGTGAATAGGGCCTTCTCCATCAGACCTGTGGGCTGCGCCGGGGCTAAGATCTAAAGACAAGTTCAGCCCCTCAACACACAAGACAGAACCATGGTCTTGGAAAGGAGCCACCAGGTATTTCAGGCCCTGGCAGGGGGACCAACAGGCCGGCTGGGCAACCAACACCTAGCCTGAAACCTAAGTCCGAGCCCAGAGGGACTTCACAGAGGGTTTAGCAGTGACGATCTGAAATCCTGCTGGACACTGGCAGCGCCAGGGTGGTCAACAGAGGCCACCTCTAGGTTCTACTCTGAGAGAAACTGGCTAGTGGTTCCACCGAGAGGCCTCCTCAGCCTCAGGCCGATGTCTGGCCCTGGAGAGGAAAGGTGAGCTGTGCCCATGACACAGGGACAGGCATCTGTGGACCCGATGCCATCACCACGGGGACTTTCTGCAGAGCTGGGCCCTACAAGACAAACAAGGCCCATCTGGGTAAATCAGACCAGACAGCCATGTGTTCTCAAAAGGTCCTTGGGCCTTGCACTCTTCATGTCAAATGAGAGGTTTGTGTGGGCATAAATTGTGGCTTTCTTGAACATGTGCCCAGGAACCAGTCAACAATGAAAACTGGGCTTGTGTAACTCAATAAAGTGCTCCTCGAGTATGTCATAGGGCCTAAAGTTTAGAGACCTGGAGGTGAAGGAGTGCCTGAAAACCCTCATTTTATAGATGAACGAGGAAGGCCTGCCCATGGTCAGGGGCTGGGAGGTGGTGGCTGTGGATGTGCATCCTGATCCTGTGCTCTCAGGCTGCCCTGTTGGCCTCTCCTTACTGTCTCTGTGTGGCCTGCAGGATGGTTATGGAGAGGACACCTTTGTGTAGGTAGAAAAAGCCAAAAGACCAAGGCTGCTAAGTCTGCCCCCAGGGGCAAGGATGGTGAGCAATCACTGCCACCTTCTTCAGAACAGAAAATCCCTCTTCTTTACCATCCTTGTGTGAAAGTGCCAGAGAGTGAAGAAATCAGTAACACGACCACCACCTTCTCATCTGAGCCAGGACAGATGTGCCCCTCTTACCTCTAACTTCTCAGAGACATATTCACACTCTGACATGAGCTGAGGTATGATTTCACTTTGTTTTCGGAGATCTGTCAACTCCTACAGGAGATAGAAATAAAAAACAAAACACTCAGAAATGTATTCTTGAAAATCACTAACTTGTGCATATACTAACGGATGTCACTTTTAGGACCTGTCCTGTTTGCATAAATAATATCAATGAGGCTACTTTTAAACATCAGGAGATTCCAGAGGAAAGTGTATGACATGCATGATCACAAATGTCTGTACAGCACCATAAAGAGGCAGGTATCTTTATGATTTCTGTTTTGTAGATGGGAAAATTAAGACCTAGAGAAGCTTGGTAACCTGCCCATGGTCTCCAACATGTGTGTGCTTAACTATTCTTACTTCCAGAATGTAAATGACTATATGATTGGTAGCTCTAGCTGCATTAATCTGACAGAACCCAACTTGTGATGACAGGTGATCCATAAAAATGTCGGGGTGTTCTGTGAAATGTTCAACTAACTCTTGGGTCTGAGTAACTGACAGTATACTCTAAACACAACTTGGAGACTGCAAGGTGATGGTGAGGCCTTCCTTTGCCCTGGAGTCTGTACCTTGTGACTCCTGGCTCTCTGTCCTGGTGTCCTGGCAGCTGCCAGGGCCAGTCACATGCTCTAAGCTACCTGCTGTGTCCATGGTGGCCTCCCCTCAAGGCTCAGAGGGTGCTAAGGCCCCTGCTCGAGCACCGTTACTCACCGTCTCCTTCTCTCGGAGTTCTGACTCTAGCTCTTCAATTCTCCTTTTCAGCTGTGAATTCTTCTCCTTCTCCCTGTTTATCTCACTGCACTGTTCTTCTAGCTCGTCAATCTTCAACAGACATCACACAGTAAAGCAGAGATGCTAGCTGACTTTAGTCATTAAACAGGAGACTCCCACAGATATTTTATGCTTTTTTAAAAAATACACCATAAACCAACCCACTCACAAATTTTTCTCTGTGGCCGCGAACAAGCTCTAAGCTTCAGGATACTCTGGACTTCTGGTTTTCTCACAAGGCCACATTAGAGGTTTCCTTTAAAGATCTGTCACAGCCTAGATATCCCCTGAATGATTTTTACACGTCCTAAATTATCTCAAGGGTTTAAGCCAGCAGGGGAGAGAACTTAGCAACTCTGTGGGACAGTGGCTCCCAAATGCAAAGCAATGACATTTCAAACCCTGAGCACCAAGGTGGCCTTACCCTCGATACATGCAGAGAGGCCTGCCAAATCTTCCTTTGAGACTAATGGCAAATCCCAGGGCTTTATCTTTTCCTCCTTTCCAGGTCTGCCCGCTCCAAAGGCTACCAGTGTGGAATGAACAGGCAGAGGCCTGACACCCCACTGTCATCCAACACTGAGCATTTCTCAGGGACCCAAAGGCATATGCAGAGTGGATGGCAGGAAGAGAACTAATGTCTAACACAAAAGCAATGTAGTGATGGGGTCCCCACAAGCCAACAGCAACCTTGGACATGATGGGTGTTAGCAAGAGGACATTTCTCAGAGGTGGCCTGCACCAAATGCCACCAGCTTCTACCTCCATCCTGGAAATCAAGCTCCTGATGTGTCCGCCCAGGGAGGGCCACACTCCTCCAAGGAAGCACACATCCCACCCCCACCCCCACTCCCTATGGTCTCCATACTTAGACCAGAGTGAGAAACTCAGCTCTTTGCTTGAAAAAAAGAAAAGAAAGAGCAGGCAGACCTGCTAGGCCTTGGTCAAGAAGGTACAGAGTCAGCAGCTGGCCTGATGCCCCCTGACTGTCAGCACTTTCAACACTGAGATGAAAAAATGACATGAGGCAGCTTTATGTGGCCTCAGCACCAAAGTGCAACCAGTGGCAGATCTATAGCAGCTTGTCCAGGTTGGACAGAGCAGGTCACACATGCAGGTTAGGGGACAGTGAGCACCAGCCTAAATGTGAGGTGTCCCCTGAAGACCTGTCTACTCCTGCTGGGCTGGCTACAGTCTCACTACCACAACATGGTCAGCCCAGGACCCTCAGGACCTCAGGCACTCCAACACTTCCTTATCAACTGGGCAGAATGGCAGAGAGACAGTGACTCATACAGGCAAGATTACAGGTGAATTCTGAAAAACTCTAAGTGCCAGGATGTCAAAGTTAGGAACTAGAAGGCATCTGACAGCAGTCAGCACCCACCTTCCTTGTGCTTTAAGCAGCATAATCTTTTCTCACTTCTAAATTTGCATTTTAAAAGGAATGATCTGAATGGAAGCAGAGCTTCTGAGCAAATGCTCCTCACTATTTCCTGGATATTTTTTCTCTCATCCCCTGGTTCCCCTTCCTCCACTGAAGATCACCACACCACAGAAATTCTAGAGAAAAGCACCCACATCTAAGGCCAGCTGTGATGAGCCCCAGAGGAGCCTTTGAGAGGGACAAGGTTGGACCCTCAGTTCATTCATCTTCTCCTTTAACAACAGGAATTATAAACTTGCTTGCAGAAAAGTAACACATCAATAGTGTACATGGTTAAATTTCTACTGGGAAAGGCGGGGAGATAGAGAATGTTCTAAGGGGAGAGGAGAAAGTCCTCCTCCTGCCCATGGGGGAGGGCAAAGTAAGGAGGAGGGGGAGGCAGGAGAGAGAAGGACTCCTGCTGCTGGTCACTGGCCCTCCCTCCTGCTGTGGCTCCCCGAGGCCCACCTTGTGGCGGAGCCTGTCATTCTCATCCCTGCAGATGGAGAACTGCTTCTTCCACTGTTCCACGCTGGCTGCCGACTCCTGTAGCGCTGTGGTCAGCCTGGCATTGCTCTCCCGCAGGGTCTGCAGCTCGATTTCCCATTTCTTCACATTGGCAGCACTGTGGGGCAGGAAACAGGCCGGATGGAAAAGGGGTACCAGGGAAGGAGATGAGGGTGCTGTACATCACACTGTACCTCCACCCAACTGGGGAAGGGGGACCTTGCCACCCCTCAGCCTGGCTGAGGGGAGCCCACACTCTCGCTCACCAGTGAGTGGGGTAGGGGTGCTGGCTGCATAGACCAACAGCCACGAGGGACAGGGCCTCTCTGTAGGGTGAACATGTCACCTCATGGGGCTTAAAGAATTGGCTTAGAAGAGAACTGAGGTCTTAAAAGAATGAGGAGACAGGGCTTCATTCCCTGCTGACCCCCTGTACAGAACCCCCTTCCCGAAATAAAACCAAGGACAGAAGCTCTGCATACTGAGGTAGACTATGGGCCCTCTGAGGGGCTCCTGAAAGCCATGCACACCTCTCTGGAGCCCGACCGAGAACCTTAGTTTAAACAACATGCATACAGACAGCCCTGTTCCAGGTAAAAATGGCGCCACATCATTTGTGCCTCTTCAGGGCCCTGAGAGGAATCCAGACTTGAGAGATGAGGGCTTGGGGACAGACAAGACAGTGACTGGGAATTGGCCTCTTGTGAGCAGAATGGGTGTCCCACCCTCTGTGTGGGAGGGAGCACTGTCTGTCCCAGGACCTTGTGATCTCAGGGGTATGAGGAGATGGAGGTGTATGGAACATCTCTATCCTCACCACAGAGACCTCCTGATTTACCTCTTATTCCATGAGCTCAGTGAGGATGAAGTTTAAAACAAACGAATCAGGTTCCCCTCAGTCACTGCTCCCTTAACCCTCCTTTACCTTCCTCCTCTTAGAGCTCACAATCTGTGGTGCTGAATGTGACCTGAGGTGACAGAGAAGAACTGCACATGACAAGCCCACAAGTTTGTATCTGGCTGAGGAGAGTCCTCTTCTAAAGGTCTTTTAAAATTTTTTTTAAAGCAAATGCAACTGTGACTGAATAATTTGTGTTATCTTTCAGCCCACGGCCTCAAGAAACTAGGAATGTGATTGGAAAATACACTTTCAGTTTCAAATACCACAGACTGAAAAAATAGTAAAATGTTATTATCTGATGAATTCTAGAGTTGGTGACTGAGAATTTAAGCTGATTTAGGGAAATGGCTTCACATGCATTCCTGTAACTCACTTATTCACTAAACTCAGATTTGAAAACATTTATTTTTAGGGATGAAATGTTTTCATCCACAGCCCAGTGTGATCTAAACGAATTAGTCCTCACAACTGCCTGATGAGTAAAAAAATAGACTGGTTCCAGTTTTGTCTTTCACCTGACAATGAGCCAGAGTCCAAAAGCAGGCTGTGGGATCTAAGGGTCTCACGTGCCTTCTGGATTCCCAGGTCAGGCCACAGGAAGTAAGTGGCAACCACCAGCCAGGCCAGCCGACTGGGGAGGAGGGGGTCAGGTCCAAGGTGGCTCCAGCTGTGGAATGTGACTGGCTGCCTGTGGGACATTCTCAACTGGAGTCTTGAGTGAAAGGCAAGCAGTGCAGGTGATGGGAAGATTTACTTTTAGCCATGTGACCTTGGCCTGAGAGTCACTTGACCACCTGAGACTCAGTTTCCTCATCTGTATAATGTGGGAAGTTAGACAGGATGGCTCCTAAGATGACACAGATCACAAATGGGTGAGCCTGGGAGGGCAGCTTCTCAGGCACGAAGAGGAGGTTGGGGGGAGGCTGAAGCACCTGGCCAGGAGAGCAAGATGATCTGAAGGTAGCCACAGGTTGGTCCTCAACACAGAAACATTAGCACAGCTCATGTCATTGTTAAAAATTGAAATCTTCTTGATTCCAGTTTGGGGATCATGTTAAATGTATAGATCTACTTAGCAGAAACTGACACCTTACAAAATATCAAGGCTTCTTACCACTTCCCAAAAGAATATATCACTCTGTGTTGACGTGATGGATATGCCACTTACTCGGACCATTATGCATTGTACACATACATCACATACTTCATAAATATGCACAAATATGGTCAACTAAAATAAAAAAAAATATATTTTTAAAAGGAGAAAACACGTATGTTTCTATTTGTTAAGTAATTAATTTATGAACCTCAAAACCATTTTAAAGATCACTTTTGGCAGATCTTGTATGTTTTTTGTTGTTTATTCTTAGGTATTTTATGGTCCCAGTTCATATGGTAAAGGAAATTTTCTTCAAGTATATATCCTGTGTGCCTATGTACGCCTTTGCCCACTGACTTTTGTGTGATTTCATACTATTTTTCGTTGTTTCTTGAGTTTTTATATGCTTTTGTTGGATTAAGACTTAATCTTACATATGACTAAATAATAAATGTGTCTCCTCAAACACACAGCCCAATTACAGAGACGTTCCATACACTCTCTCACACTTGTGTATTGTCCCTCACGTACAACTCACTGCCCTGCAGACCTGCACTCTCCCTCTCACACATACACTCACACACACAGCCACACTCACACACTTTCTCACATTCACACACATACTAACTGATGTTGATGTGGCTGGCCAGACAGGGAAGGCCTTGAATGTGAAGCCTCTTGGTTTTCTTTGGACCAGGAGACAAGCCTGGAGGCTCTGAGCAGGGCCTAGTCTTCTCTCAATTTTCTGAAACCCTGCCCCCCAGGAAGTACTGAATGTGGAGATAGTAGGACCTGAGTTTTAACAGGCTCACCTCTGCGTCAGAGCAATCTTCAGCTTGTCGTTCTCGGACTTGAGGTGCGTGTCAGCTGGACCTGCATGAGAGGCCTTTTCATCGTCCGTCCCATTGACACTGGATGCCTGAGTAGAAGATGGGGTTTCACACCCAGATTCCTGGCCAAAGTGAATTATCTCCACACATTACTGTTTGTCCCCACACTGACAGCAAATTAGGCACAATGAGAGACTATATGTTTGTGAGTGTGGATGGACCAACTTATTCAACCAGAAGGCAATGAATACTAACAAATAAAAGAGGCTAACAAAGGCTACTGATTATGGGGCAAATACCCTAAAAAGTTCACCTAAAGAGTGGGAGACCATAAAGTCTGCCCACTTACTGACAAGAAAACACCTGGGGCCACTGCTTTTTTATTTCAACTCTGCAGACAAACCCAAAAAGCTTAAGTATCTGGACTTCTTAAGTACCATAGGACAGAAGGCACAGGTTAAAAGAGATGGAGAGATTATGATAAAAAACAAAGAACAAGACATAGTGAATGAAGGCAGAGAAAAAGTATTAAAGCTGAGATAAAATCCTTGGGCTACAGGGAGTTAGATCAACATATCCATTTAAAAAACAGGAGCCAGATATGGATGTTGCTGTCTCCATTACTACTTAGCATTGTTATGAATATCCTAAAGTGTTTTCTGCAATAAACCAGACCACAGGGAGGTGAAATCTCATCTGGTCTTGGATAAGATCTTAGATTTTATTTAGCCTCCAATAAGCATAAAGGTAAAGGAAAGAACTATGAAGGGAATGATGTATAAATCTGACTAATTTTAAATTCCTGCACTGCAAAAAAAAAGTCAGGAACAAAATTAAAATGCAAACAAAAACCTGGGGAAAATATTTCCAGCAGATATTATATGTAAATTATTAATGGTGTTTCTCTACTGAAGAACTCTTAAAGAGTCCTTATCTTTTAGAGCTACATACTAAAGTATTTATGAATGAAATAATATATCTGGGATTTCCTTTAAAATATGGACAAGAGAGGAGAATTGGGGGGGGCATATATAAAATAACTGGTTAAAAATTCCTGGGGCTGGGGATTTAGCTCAGTGGCACGCTACCTGCGTCACAAGTGCAAGGTCCTGAGTTCGATCTCTGGTACCAAAAAAAAAATTTTTTTTTTAATTCCTAATTAATAAAGCTGACCTATGGGTACCTAGAGGTTCATTGTACAATTCTGCCTGGTTTTATATGTGTTCAAATTCTGTCATGTTAAAAAAATATGCAGAGCTCTTAGGAATCAATACAAAAAAAGATAACAATTATTTTAATAAAGAAAAGATCTACTGATATTTACAAAAGAAAAATACATACAAATAAACAAAAATATTTAATGTCACTAGAAAAGAAATAAAAAATCCAATGAGATACATTTTTCATCTGTCAAATCAACAAAGCTTTCTTAGTGATGGTGTGGGAAGAAAACCCTTTATTCACTGCTGGTGGGAGTGGGAATTGTATATTTCGGTAGGCCAAGTGCACAGTACGCATCAAAAGCTTTGAACATATCCATACCTTCAACCCATATCTCCTGCTCAAGAATTCACCCTGAATAAACCATAACAAACACAAAGATGGGCAAGAACTTTCATCGTAGTGTTATTTATGTTGATGAAAAACTAAAAACAGCACAGATATTCCACATTCTAAGAGGTTAGTGGAATAAGTCATGTCACAAACACATTGGAATACTGTTTAGCCATTAAAATAGTTTTGAATACAGACAGAGGTGATTTTTATTCTCTTCTTAAAATGTGATGTTTTATTTATACAATAAACACATATTGCTTTTATAGTCATAAAAACCCTTATTTATTGTTTTTGTAATTAGGCTGCTTAAATCTTCAACTACTGGGAAAACTTGGTCAAAGTATTCATTCTCTAAGAGATTCAGCAAAATAAGCAACTGATTTCTAATAAAAAGAAAAAGAGAAATGAACACTGATCTCTATATCTGGGGAAATATCAGGAAAGGTAAATAAAAACTAAAGCTTTGAGAGAAAAATTCAATTCTACATAATATACACACAATATTTTATTGGGTATACTTGTTTTTTAAGGTTTAAAATACTTTTGAGGGGATAAACATTAAAAGAAAACCATCTATAGAGAAATTCTGACTTTTAAATTTAAAGAGAGTACTATAACATAAGATATTCAGAAAAAGACTATGTATATAGTTTTGTTTTGTTGTTTTGAGATGGGGTCCCCACTATGGAGCCCAGGCTGGCCTTGAACTTGTGACCTTCTGTCGGGAGCAATGCTACATAATTTTAGGGTAAAATCATTTGGTTAGCCTAGTTCTCCTGCTGCCTCCTGAGTAGCTGGGATTACAGGTATGTGTGCCATTATGCCCAGCAAGACAGTGTATTAGAAAATCTCTAGACTATGGAATATTTCTATAAAATTTGTGTCCAGTTTTATAGCTTCTCAGAGATTACTAAGTAATTGGTATACTAAATTAACTAGTAGCACTTAGGTTATATTAAAGTTATTTAGAAAGATTCAGGAGTGCTCCTGTCCACCTGCAGCCTCATATACCTTCATTTCCATAAATCCACCAGGGGTGTCTTTTGTATGACAAGCTCAGGCCAAGTTTCTGGGAACATAAGACAGACCTACCCATGCACACACCTGAACTCCTAGCACTCTGGAAGGATGGGACAGGTGGATTACAAGTTTGAGCCCAGCCTGGGCAACTTAGCTAGACCTTGTCTCAAAATAAAGGAGCCTGAGGATGTAGAGCAGTGCAAAGGTTCTTTGTTGCCCAATACTGTCAAAAACAAACAAATAAACAAAACTAACTTCTGCCTTTGTGAAGCAGCCCAAGCTGCCAGGTTTCTGACAGACTCAGAGTCCCAAGGTGTTCCCTGCCCTGTTCTGTGAGCACTAAATGTTTAAGGTCCTCACCTGGGGGGCAGTGATGCTGAAACTTCTCCCCTGCCTTCTTTGGTGGCTCCTCTCCTAAAACTAGCTCTGGCTTCTGCCTTCCTCTCCTTCTGTGAGGCTAATGGTCAGGTCTATAGTTGAGCTTGGCAGCTCCAGACACCCAGGGCTCCTGGTACTTGTCGCTGGAGTTGTCCCTGACACCAATCCCTTCCTTGTTTGAACTGTGGCTGCCTCTGTCCTGGTCCTGCCCCCTACAGCCTTCTTGACAGTCTTCCTGCCCTCGGTCACTCCCTACCTGCCTTACCAGCTATACATGACCCTCATGCCAGATCCTGATCAATAGTCATGGACACCGCCAGTGTCCACTGGCTACCCAAGAACAAACAAACTGCTAGTAAACAAACTCTCCACTAATGAAGAATGGCAGGTCTCGCACAGTATTCCAGGCACATCTGCACATCCCATCCAGCCTAGCCATCATGCTTATTTCTGACCCCAACTCGCTGGTCCTGAACTCTCCCTTTTCCTGAATCTTTCTGCCAAACCTTTCTTTACCACTCTCTATAAAATGTAGACATCAAGAATGCTGGTATTTTTTGTCAGGCTAAAATGGGTCCTTTTTAGTCAATCATTACACTTCTAAGCAGACAGACTACTCAATTACTGGCACAGACAGCTCTCCTCCAACCAAAGAACAGCTGTGGGAATACCATCTCCCACTTGGATTTTGTTAAAAGAGGGAGAGAGACACATGGCTCTCTGGTAACAAGTTTCCTCTCTAACAGGCACAAGGTGCCTGCCTCCACTGATGAGCATTATAATGGAGACCTTGCCTTCCACCCCAGCAAAGAAGCATGCTGCCTTGCCACTGGCTTTGAACAGTGACCACAGAATGTCTCTCAGGGGTCGGAAACTGGCATTAACTCTAATTCCATCAACCATTTTCTGCCAAAAATACAGTACCACATCTTGAAAAATTCAAGAGTCTCATAAAACATGTCACATCCATCTTACCGTGAGCAGGCTAATAATTTGAAAAGGCCTTCAAAATGCCTTACTACTACACTTCTCTATTTCTTGCCATGAGTGACAAGGAATGAGGCATCTCAATTGCTGATCACACTCAATTTATTTTGTGGACAAATTACTTACTTGGGAATGATTACTTGAAGTCTCAATTTTCTCCTGGGACTTTTCTCTGGCAAGTTTGGCAGCTTCTTTTACCTCCTGAAATTTCTCTGCAAACTGAACAAGAAGAATAGTTATTAAAGTTTTGATTAATTTTATTTATGGCTGCTATTCAGAACTCATCTTTATTATTTTGTATCCAGCTTTAAGTCAATAAATTCTGTATAAATCCAGAAGAATTTCATTTGAGATTAAAAAGAAATGAATATAAGGAATGCTTTTTTTTTAGTAAACACTATTGGCCAAGACAAGGCTTAAGTAAGTCTCAAGTGACTGAGCTGACTTGATAATGAAGTATTAAAAACAAATTAAAAACCCAAGGTTAACAGTAACTAAAACAAAAGCAACAGAAGAAATGTAGCAACATCACAGAAGGGATCCATGAAAAACTTCACAAACCCTATGCATAGATTCAAGAATGCTTGTAAGTCAATGTCATGAAAAAGAAAACCACCCCCAAAATTTGGAGAAAAGAATGTTCTAGGTTATAAAAGCTTAAGATACAAAACAGTAAAATGCAACATGTGGCTTATGATTACATGCTTAATCATCATTCAATCTGCTATTAAGTACTTCAACAACAATAAGAGATGAAGAAATGTTTCAGAATGTTAATAACTTGAAATTTAGGTGATATGTGCAAGGTGTTCATTATTCTACACTTCTGCTTTCTAATATTTCCATAATAAAAATTTCTTTAAAATCTCAAGGCAATCATATCAATCACTGGCTCATAGTTACCAACAAGGCAATGGATTTTAATTAGCAGATACACTGTTTTAACAGAGAACAGGCAATGCTGATAGGCAATGCCCTTACTACAAAGCAAGGGGAAGCTCAATCATGGTTGCTGAGAAACAGAGGGCTACAGGGCTGCAGAGAATCCCGAGGTCTTGCTGAGAACTCACTTATCCGTGAGCACAGGCTCTCCTCTGAGTGTCTTCACAACACCAGCAACAGCAGTCTGCCTCGGGAAACCTTGACAGATAACAAGTGCTGGCAAGCCCCGCTGCACCATGGTGTAGGCCAGGGGTGGCGAACCTAAGGCAAGCGTGCCGCAGCAGTTTGTTCATTATCACTGAAAGCTCTAAAAGGTTAGCCATCACTGGTCTAGGTGGAAAAGGGCAGCTTTTCTATCTCAGCCTGTACTGCTTCCACTGGCCCCATTAATAAGGCCACCACCATGGGGCTGCATACTTAACTCTTCCAGAGCTGTCAGTGGAAAATCATTTTACCTGTTGCTTAAAACACATGAGACTCAGCAGGGATGGACAAAGGCCCCCTTCTTTTTGGGTACTCCTTCAATAAAAACTTCATGTCCTGAACTCCTTGATGGCAGAGTCCCTGCCCCTCCCCGCCTTTCAGAAAGCAGCCAGAGGAAATGTGATTCACTGAGGAAGGAAACAATAATACCCAAGACCTGGCTCCTGCCCTCAAAGGAACTCTAAGTCTGTAGAGGATGTTGTTTACATTCAAATAGGCACAAATCAAGAAGAAAATTTCAGAAAATAAGCTTGGAACTTAATGAACTAAGAAAAGCCCTATCAAATACATAATTTAAAATGACATGTTACTAGCAGATTCACGATGGAACAGAACAAACAGGTGAGGAATAGACCCTACCAGTTAGAGAAAAATCAGCTATGAAAAAAAAAAGATAAATCAGTGAGGAATATTACTCAACATATAATTTCATGTTAGTAAATGGGTATTTAAAATCCTTACTAAAAACTACTAGCATGATACACTACTACTAAGTTAAAGAGGTAAGTATGAAAAAAAAGTCCAACCTTTAAAAATCTGGATGCAAACAGAATTGAAAATTTATCAAACTTCTGCTTGAGGGGTGGAAGGGTTAATTTTCTAAACTTGGAAGAAACAACAACAAAAACCCCACAAAAATGACAGGCCTGACTGTATAATTTAAAACTTTTGAATATAAAAGGGGAAAAAAAACTAACTCAGAAGGAAAACAGCCCAGGGGAAATATCTCTAGCTAGACTAGGACCACACAAAAAGGGTTATTATTTTTACTATAGAAAGGGTTTGTATAAGATGAAAAGGAAAATATGAAAACCCCAACAGATAAATGGCAAAAGCCATGAATTAAAAATAAAATAACTGAACAACTTACAGAAAAGATCGTCCAGCCTCACTGGAAATGCAAATCAAAATAATGAGGTACCATTCTTTGCCTGCTAAATTAGCAAACACTAAATACAATTATAAACCCCAGTGCTGGCAAGATTTTTCTGGTAGCATTGTATTTTGGTACAGGCCCACTGAGAAGCAATTTGGAAATGTGAATCATTTGTAGAAAAAAAAATCTTTATACCTACTGACTCAGTGACAGCACTTCTGGGAAACTATTCTGTGAAAATAAAGGAGAATATGGAAACAAAAAGACCTTCAATATAATGCTAATAATACTAGCACTGTCCATAATAATAAAAACCTGGAAGCAGCTCCAAGTGCCCAGAGAATGGAGGGAGGATGCTTCCCTTCACAGCCTCTGTGAGGAAAACCTGGCACCAGCGATCGGAGATGCCAAATGACTGTCCTTCGTGAAAAATCCCTCCAAGTCTAAGGCTGTCCACATTTGCCCCATTATTCAAAAAAGCATATATGCTTGTAAATTTGAAAAACACAGCTTAGAAATTTTTTTTTTAAACTTATAGCCCTAACACCCAAAGATAAGCACTAACAACATAAACTTAAGATGTCTTTCTATCTATATAGGCACCCATCTCACATATTTCCTTTTAAAAACAGAATGACATAACATATGTCATTTTATAACCTCTCTTGAAACTTAACACTATGACAATGCTCCCAAGCAATTATACGATCTTCTACCACATTATCTTAGCTGCTGCACAATGAAGAATATACTGAAAGACATACTGAGTTAAACAATTTCTTATTTTGATATTCAGATTCTTTCCTTCTTTTCTCCCCTCTTTCCTCCCTCCCTGCATTCCTTCCACTGCCCATCCCTCGAGCCCTCCCTTCCCGCTTTATCACCTTACCTCCCTTTTTTCTCTCCATTCTCATAAATGATGCTGCAAAGAAAATCCTTGGACCTAAATCTTTGTACTCAATTACAATAATTTCTGTAGAACACATTCCTGTAAATGAAACCCATGGTTTCTGAAATATGTTGCCAAATTCTCAAGTCTTTATTTAATTAACGTCATTTTCTGCAGTCTTTTGTAGTAATAATTTTAATCAAAATCATTATCATCATCATGGAAAATGAGAGGGGAGCAGTACCTGCCTTTATGTTTGCCTCCTTTTGGCCTTGGCCACTGAAGACCTGTGGCAGACACTGCTGCCTGCATATTCAAAATTCCCTTTTTTGCTAGGTGTGGTGGCACATCCCTATAATTCCAGCACTCCAGAGGCGAGGCAGGAGGATCTCTGTGAGTTAAAGGCCAGCCTGGACTACATAGTGAGTTCAAGGCCAACCTGAACTACATAGCAAGGCTCTGTCTCTTTAAAAAATTCCCTTTTATTTCTTTTCTTTTAGCTTAACAGAATCTCAAATTTGTCTGCAGCAGATAATTTCCTAGGTGATGAAAACGAAAGCCTGGTCCAAGCCAATCACAGAAATCTCATTTTTGGCACAAGTGGGCTAGGGACCCAGGACTGACAATGAGACCTAAGAAGTCCTCCACAGCAGTTTCCAAGGAAAGTGTGCGGCAGCACTCTTCTACCTCCTCCCCCTTCCCATGAATGTAGATGTGATGAACAGAGCTTGAGAAGCCATATTATCACCATGAGGGAAAGGCCAAAGAAAGAAGAGACAGACAAACACACACAACTCTTAGACCCAAGGTTACAGAACCAGTGCCAGCAACACCCGCCTCAGGACTTGTCTTCTGCATAAGAAAAATCTGCTTTGTTTAAGCACTGTGATAAGTTTTCTGTTATTTGCAGCCAAATACACTCTCACTAAAACATGGAAAGGATGATTAATATTATCTATTCAAAAAATGGATCCTTAAATCTGGTGATAGGAAGGTAGGAGGGCGGGCAATGTTCTTCCCACACTCAGCTAACGGAGTAACTACACGGGGACAGATTTGAGTTACAGATGAAATCATTGAAATGGGTAAAAAGCAATGCCATATGCATGGCACAGCATGGGCCTCTTGGGACTCCACCCTGGATGGCTCCCTCTTAATGGCAGAACACCTCTCCACGTGCCTGTGGCAAATGAGATGAAGCCAAGCCCAGAACCGTGATCACTTGAGGTCAGATTCCAGAAAGAATCAAAACATTAATAACTACCCGATTCTCTTTTCATTCATTCATTCATTCATTCACTCATTGATTCATTGAGACAGGGTCTTACTAGGTCATTAAGTTGCCCAGGTTGGGTTCAAACTTGCAATTCTCCTGCCTCAGTCTCCCAGAGTGCTGGGGTTACAGGTGTGCACCACCATGCCTGGCTTCATTCTTGTATTTGGTTCTCTCTCCCTTTGATTCTTTTTCTAAACCAGAACATGCAAATTCCTTTTCAGCATTCTTCAGTTTACCAAGCTCTTATGCCTTCTCCTGTGGGTGGACAGACAAGGCCCGGTTCACACACAGCTTCGACTATTTTTGGAAAGCCTAGCTAAAGAGTGGAAAGTTTCCCTGCAGTGCTTTCTGAATGGTGGTTCTGAAGTGGTCCTTCTAATGAGGGCTATTAAGAGCAAGATATCTATTTTTCTTCTGGGGGTTAGAGAAAGAAGTACATATAGAGTGTTCTTAAGTGCAAGGGTCCACACCAGTGCTTGTTTCTCTAGCCTGAGTGTTTGATTACCAGTCCTCCTCCAGGTCCGTGGGTGGCTGCTGGAAAGTCAGCACTATCAGCCACAGCTGTCCCTCAGCATGATCCTCAGGAATCCTTCAGACCCAAGTTTCTTCGGTGCTAGCTAATTGCCACTTGTCGGGACTCCCAGCCTTACTTCATAGTAATCTATCAGTGTGTGGTTAATTGTTTACATCAAAGAGAAAGGGAAAGGAAAAGTTGATTTGAAATATTTTGGACAAAGGCAACATCCGAGAGC